CCCCAAAACCCCAAAACCCCAAAACCCCAAAACCCCTGGGACTTGTGGCTTAATTGAAATTCTTAATTATTTACCTCATAAGCAGCGAATGATGCATAGTTCAAATTATTGTTTGTAGTTCCAACGTGTCCCTCCATCAAATTTTCATCAAAACTAATTGCGATTACTGGACCATCGAAAATTAGGACAGTTCCAGGCTCAGTGAAAAGGGGCTTTCCTTCATCGATAGAATGTCTAACTAGATTACCAGCTGAGTCAGCTAGCAGAATTGCATCCCTCCTGCAGTCAATAATAGTGATTTCTCTTGTCATTACTCTGTTTACTTTAGCTAAGAACTGGACATCATGAGGACTTCAAATGATGACATCTCCTTCTTCAGTACCAATCAGGACAACTGAAGTGTTGTAAGGTTCTGGGAGCACAGGAGCAACACTGATAGAGGTAAGATTCAGCTCGGCTTCTGGGAGCTCTACATCGTAAAATAATAATTCATGAGTTTCACTAATCTTCCAAAGTCTAAAAGCCTCTCTTCCTACTGTTGCAAACATGAGTTTGCTCTCAAGATCGTTCTCTAATAAAGATATGCCAGAGTAATAGAGTGGGCATAGAGTTGACTTGATAAGTTCTCCTGTTGGTATATGCCAGATTGCTAATGTCTTGTCGTCACTATTTCCTTGGGATATCAAGAACTCACCACAGTATGAAAATAGAAGAGTATCTATCCCATTTTTATGAGATCTCAGTTCGAGCTTTTTGTTAAAATCATCTTCTACATCCCTAATGATGATCGAAGCAGTTCCTTCTTCATCAGGGGCTGATGAGCAGCTTGCAAGAAGAGTGTTATCTCGAGAAATAGCAAGGGCTGAGATGTGCTGTCCATTATGACTATTTTCTAAAACTCTTTGGCTTTCAGAGTCTTTGTTCTGAAGAACAATATCAGTCTCAGATGTAAAAATTATAAGTCTTTTATCTTGAATTGAGATGATATTCCCCTGTACATTCACTCCGTTATAAAGAATAGAAGTCGGAGGACATTCATTTTCAGATAAATTATCTGAAATTTGGCTTCCTTCCTCTTCCTTAGGACCCTGACCTTCTTGAATAAACTGTTCAGTGCCTGGCTTAATATCAGTTTCCTGGAACTCTTTGTACTCTTGTTTAGAGTCAGTCTCTTGAATATCTTTCTGGCTGTCACGTTCAATATTCTCAGTATTAACATTTTCTTTATTAATTTCTTCTTGCTCTGGTTCCTTGGCTTCTTCGACTTGTTCTCCAAGGTCCTTAGTGGGTTCTCCCTTATAAGTCATCTTTTGTTGAGTTCTCTCTTTAAGAGCTTGGAGCTCTTCAGCATAATTATCATAGTTATCAGAGATATCTCCTCTGAAGGTCCACATGTGGATCCCATCTCTCCCACCCACAGAGAAGCACTGGGAGTTGTTGTTGGGGTTAAAGAAGATCTTTCTAACACCGAATGTATGGCCAATGAAAGACTGGAAGTGGTATGGAGTAATCTTTTCAATATCTGAGTCGAACACTTTGACCATTTTGTCATCACCCGAGGTCAGGAAGTACTGTCCATTTTTACTGAAGTCAATGCTGTTGATAGACTCTCTGTGGATGTTAGTGATTTCTCTGAGAGGTGTGTTTACTCCTTTTACTTTGAGATCGTAGAACCTGATTTTGTTACTGGTGGTAGCTACTATTAGTTGTAGCTCAGCTGGTGAGAACACGAAGCATTTCCCAACTTCTTTATTTAAGAGTCACGGTATTCATCAAGGAGAAGTTAACTGTGTCGTAGATATTCACTAAATTTCCATTATCTCCAAAAGCTCCGAAAACAGAGTTGGTAGGGTCAAATCCTAGAGAAATATGTGGTGGAGGGAAATCAACCTGTAGCATCTTGATAGGTTGATGTTGTAAGTTAACATTATGGATAGCAAGGTACCCATCTTTAGAGGAAGTCAGAAGTAGTCTAGAGTCTGAACTATAGACTAGATCTACAAGAGGAAGGTTGAACTGGGAATATACTTCTCTAACTTTAGTATTTTGTATATCGAAAATTCTGAGGGTTCCAGATTCAAATCCACATGCAAATAATGGTTCTGATGGATGTGAACTGACTGAGATAGCTTGGTCATGTGGAGATACAAACTCATATATCTTTTGGAAATTTCCATCAACTCCCCATAATCTAATGGTCTTGTCCTTTGAAATGGTGATGATGTAGTTCCTCTCAATATTATAATCAGCTGATAAGATTTCATCAGAGTGAGATCTGAGTAAAGTCACATATTTTTCTTTTGCAATATCGACCATCCCAAGGGATCCGTTATTAGTACCGCATACGATCTGGGTTCCATCTGGAGAAATGTCTACTGCTGAAACAGGACCATCGTGAGGAGCCTCAATGAAATATTCTGAAAAATCTAGCAGCCACACTCTGAGTAGGTTGTCTTCACTTCCAGTTACACAGAAGGCTTCATTAACTGAGATTGAAAGGATTGGGCCATCATGAATCTGAAAAGCATTCTCAAGTTTCTTTGAATGGTAATTAATGATTATAATCAATCCTGTCTGACTTGATATAAGGATCCTGCTCAGACTTTCATTTTCAACAAGATCAGAACTTTTGAACCCGTATTCATAATCAAGGTCAGTAAAAACGGTGTTTCTAGCTCTGTGATCTAGCACTACTGAGCATCCTTGGAGATGCTTGTTTTTAAGTCTCCAAGATCTTATATTTTCTTTTCCACAAGACATTACAACAAAAGGGTCTATTGGAGAGAACTTCATTGCCATAATATTAAAGTTACTCAACTGTTTAGTGATGACTGGAGGCTTGGTGTTAGTGTTTAGCACAGAGATATCCCAAAGAATGATGCATTCTTTGTTCTTTTCATCTCTTCCTGAGACAGCCAAGACAGTACTGTTACAGTTGAAGCTGATGCATTCGACAGTTTTGAGCTTTGGATGGAGGACAGCACATGTTTTGCCAGTTTCGAAATCCCATATTCTAATGGTTGCTTTCTTCTTCTCTTGTCCTGAGGCTAATAGAGATCCATCTTGACTGAAAGCAAAGCATGTAATCATATCAGTATGTCCAAAGAAGAATCTTTGCTTATTTGATCTAACATTTAAAGAGACAAGGAGTCCTCCTGAAGCATAGACTATGGACTTGTCTTCTTTGTTTGGTGACCACTTCAAATTTTTCCCAGTGTAGCCGATAACATAATCCATGTTAAGAATAGGATCAATAGCTAACTTTTCACTTTTGTTGCCATTCTGCGCATTGATAACTTTACCTTCTTCCTCTTGTTCAAAGTTGACTTGTTTATCACCTTTCTCTTCAACTTTGCTGCTGCCAGATCCTCCGATATTGCCTAGCTCAGATTTGGTCATTGTGTGATCAGCATATTGCTTCTTTTCACCACGCTTGCTTTCTTCGTAATCGTACATCTCAGGCTTTCTCTCTTCAAGTTCTGAATTCCTGAACAAGGAATTTTCGTCCTCTTGGCTATCTTCAGAAGCCTGAGGTTTGAGCGGACTGCTCTCTTTGAGGTATTGCTCAATGAGTTCAGGGTTGACACTTGGGATACAAGTCCATACAAACTGCTTCTCAAATTCCTTCTTGTCGGCTCCAGCTGGAGCCTTGAATTGGAAGTCGCAGGGTAACTTGTTCCAGGTATAAAAGTTGTCGGATGTGAAGATCCCTCTTACTTTGATTTCAGAGCCAAATGTGAAACTCTTTAGCATATGGGCTCCATCAATTAAGTAGTCTTCAGGGAATAGCTCTGATAAGTGCATTATTCTAGCCACGTCTACGACGAGGATCGTCCATGATCTTGTCAGCTCAAGAGGGATCTGGATTACGAAGTTATTAGGTAGACTAATTTCTTTGTATAAATTTGAAAATGAGAATCTTAAATTATTCCGCCCTTCCATTGAAAATTCCAAGTGAATGAAATATGGCTTTTCTGGTTCAACTTTGGCTTCGATATAGATAAATCTTCCAATAAGGCCCAGGTTTTTGATCTTGGATAAAGGGTGAGGACATTTGATGTAGTTCTTTGAAGAGATATGCCCCTTAATATTAAAAGCTCTTCTGCCAATTTCCTTTGCCTATAAATTAGAATGTTAAAACTATATATTTACAAGGTATTCAGTGACGCATCCTTTCTTCTCTGTTCTTTTCCAGTCAACTCCAATATTGTAATACTTGAACACGTCAACATAGGGATGTTGCCAATTATTATCTGCTTTTTGCAGCATTTTTAAATCTTGATAATATTTAAATTTAAATTACAATTTAATATTAGTTTACGGGGTTTTGGGGTTTTGGGGTTTTGGGGTTTTGGGG